CTTAGAAAAATCAACAAAAAATAAATAAGCGGTAGCTTTGATAAGCGTTTTAAAATGCTACAGTATGCGCACAGTGTCTTGATCTGGTATAAACATATCATCAGATATCTTGTGCAGTCTCCTCAACATATCAAATACATTTATTTAATAGTTGAAAAATTGTTGAAATGGTACAGAAAAGTTGAATCCTTATACGTATATCGACTGAACGGATTGAGCAGAAATACTGCAGGAACAGTTTGTTGTAGAAACTCTCCATTGTTAGAGATTTATTTATATGTTCATGCTAGGTATGTGTTCTTCCTTACCTACTATCTCTTCTTAGATTGAAATAATTAGCATGAACGACAGCGCTGAATCAACTAAGTCCTCATTTCCAAAGAAAAGTGGATTTTTCAGTTCAACCAACAAGCCAAAGATGATAACAAATGCACAAAATGCAAGAGACGCTCAGCATAAAATTATCAATAGAATAAAAAATTATACGTTTCAACAAAATATGTATGACTTTTTCTTTTAATGTAAAATATTGTCGTTGTTGCTCTTTCCTAGGAAGCTTTTTTATTGGTTAATGTTGGATTTCATACCCACACCTACCTTTGTATTGCCTATGATTACAAGTATACTTACGATCATAGGTATACTGGTAGTTTGCTTTACTTCACCAAAATCACCGGGTACGTACTTGTTGCTTTGTATTCTTCGTATTCAATACGATAAAAATCCACAGTTTATTCGGTTCTGTTTCATCCGTATTGTGACTCTGGGTTAAAAAAACTCAAACCATCTAGCGAGAACAGTATTATAAGCACTACGACTGCTTCACTTTTCCATTTCAAATATCCTTTGACGAACGCTAATCAACTAAGGTGATCATCATCAGTAGATTTGATACTTTGTCTCTAACTCGAGCCTTCCTATTTCACTTATTGGAAGGAATTATAGATTAGAAAACGATTCCAGAAAGCATCATCACATTGCCGCTTTGTTCCAGAGGGACACAGATAGTAAGTTTCTCTAAGACGAAGATTATCGCGTTTTCTCTTAGTTTTTTCATATGTCAATAAAACAACAATTTCACGAGCTGGTTTCTACAAATTGTTGTTACGCATTGTTACTTATTGCTGAAAGATCAACTTTATCTTATTCAATTCTCTAGAATCACTTCTTCTATTGTTTTTGATGGTACTCTTTCACGTCACTAAATGAAAACAGCAGCTTATCCTTGATTTCTTTTTCTCTATCTCATCGATATATTCTTGAATATAATAGAAATACGAAAGAATAAGAAAAAATACAACTCAATTCTCATAGAACATTACGAAAGTAAATATTTCTTCTCAACGGTACATAACTCTACATTTTCTCGCTTAATGCTACCGGTAAAGAAGTGTAAGTAGTATGCATATTCCATCTCTATCTTTTTTCGTCCTGATATCATGTTTGAATACGTATATATCTTCTTTTCTAGCATGTTCAGGTACATTCGTTTTCTTTTTCAATCTTTCTTTTTGATTCATGCATGTTCTCACGTATTCTCTAGTGATTTATTTCTGTTACAGCTCTTTCAAGCTGTAAAACTTTGTATACACGTCATAAAATAATACTTTTATCTGACTAATAACTGATCAGTAGTTGATCATTTCCACAAAGTGGACAAATAGTAAGCACATTTCTATTTTAACATAGTTCACATATCACGATAATAAAAATGTGTTATAATTATTAAACCTAACATCACACAAATTATTCTGTAATGCACTATCTTCAATCAGGTCTGACAAAGAACACATTCTATTTAATCTCTACGGAAAGTATACCTCAAATACTTGAAACGAAAACCATATTGGATGATGATAATGAATAGGAAGAGCAAGATTCCAAAAATCCATTCACATTAGCATCGACATACCCCATTTAGTTGAATGTTTCTCTTCTAGAAACTCACTCACCTACGCCTATATCATACCTTTTCAATCTATGATAAAGTACGCCTGGCTGAAAAATCTTTTTTGAAAATTGATTCTGGCCCATTTTAGAATGTTGAAGATACTTGCTTCGAATTTCAAACAGGCAGATGTCATGAAAAGAGTTGCATTGATGGGCCAATGATTCATTGCTCTTGGTGCAACAAGAACATGATTCACTCTTTTTTCAAATTATAATCATCATTAGACTGATCGATTCTTTTCTTGATTTTTTATTTTATTCTCATTCTTCGTATCATTGTAATTTCCTTATTAAGAAAAATGTTAGGTAAAGATCGTCTTTTTTTATACGATAAGCAGCGAGGTGTAAAATGAGTTTGTAAGAAGTTAGCTCGTGAAAATATTCCTTTATTGAGATATAGCTAATACTACGAATTCTTTTGGATTTTTTACTATTCTATGAATTCTACTGACGAGAAAACTTTAAGCTCAAAGAATAGGTATTTATGAGTATGACTTTCATATTACTAAGGCTACCAGTCAGTGGTAAGTACTACTTGCTAGTGAGGGCATATTGGTCAGTTTGATTTTTGTCTCAAACAAAGCCTATTTGATAAACTTTGATCTAAAGTGTTCGAAATCATGAAATTCAGAGGAAGAGCACATAAGAAAACGAATTTGTCTACATCAGAATATTCGAAACAAGTCTATAACGGCTGAGGCAGATAAAATGGCTACACTTTGCATTTCAATTTTCAATTACTAAATACCAGGTTACATTTGCTTTGAAAATGGACAAGATATTGAGCGATCGAATTTCGACCGTGAGAAAAATTGTCGCACAAAATTTTGTTGCTTTCGAAAACAAATACAATAAGCTTTACTATGTAAATTGTGTAGCTTTTCACGGTGCATCTAGTAGTATATTTTGTTTTTTTTTTCAACTAAAAACTATCAGATGATAAAAAGATGAAATAAGAAAAAACGAATTCATCTTGCACAAAGAAAATCTCGTTTTCGCATGGTCGAAATTAGATCTCTCGAAATTCTGTGCATTTTGAAAGAAAAAAGTACAACGGTTAAAAAAGCTGATCCATATAAATCGTAGAGTTTTTCACGTTGCATCTTGTGGTATATCTTATCTTTTTAATACAACGTATTAAGTTAGTAAAAATTAAAATGCAAAATGTAGCCATCTAATCTGCCTCATCCGTTATTTCGATGCAGAATGAGACAGCAAATTATTGAACACCGCATTTAATCTATTTAGAAAGTCAATCAATGGTTCCTAATCCAGATGAATATACCATATTGCCACTGCACCCAAACAGCTATATCCAACAATAAGATAACTATAAGCTGAATATACGGTGAACTAATAGTGTTTCTATAGGATTTGATGCAGTTTTTGACGGACTAACCGTTGGTGTAGTTTTCTTCTAGTTATTTTATTAGCTATAGCTTTTCGAGGTTTGTTCGTGCCTAAAACTGCAACCATATGTGTTGCAATTTCAGAAGAACATATGATATTCATATTAACAAAACAGAAGCCGGTTATGTGGTTTTCTGGAATCGATCTACGATCATTAGTGGAGGTTTCTCATCTGTAAAATTATGATATCCACAAGAAAACTTTAGCAGCGTGTAGTCCGACAAAAACTGCATCACACTTTGAAGAGGACAGTCCATCGTAAAGCTGTCTCCAAAGCAATTAAGAAGCCAGAAACTTCCTGGTATACTCGAAATATCGATAGAAACACTATTATCTCGACATAACTTCAGCTTCTCATCTGAGAATTTGTAGATAATTTCCTCGTCTTTCAAATGAGACTATTTATAGACAGGTGAACAAATGTTGTCACAAAGTTACTGTTAGTGTACAGCCATCTTGCTGCAGTAAAAATATGGTACAGTAATATGCATCAGAAGTCATTGAATCGTTTCCCAAATAGGTGATTTGTCTTGTTATGCGTCCTCCTTCTTTATTCGTGACCTTTCGAAATGTGTAGCCTTGAGGATTTCCCTCTGAAAGGACTACATCTCCAACAATATGACACTACAAATTTTGAGAAATCATAAGTGGGTTCGGATTCCTCAACCTCATAATCATTTTATCACACTTCAAACACATGGTTATTTTCGCAAAAATAAGCTTCTTCGGAGCGAAAAATTAAGCTGACACATGTTCCATTACCCAATAAGATAACCTGTCCGTAATATTAGTTCGCCGCTTCAGCCCTCTAACCAAATAAAAAGCTCTTATCAATTACTCGAAACCATCATATAGCTATGCAGGTCATATTGTAACATTGGAGTATGATAACGATGTTCAACATTAGAAATTAATCATCACTCAACTCATCAGGTGATAACTGTTAATAAACTGTCAGTGTTCTATTCATTGCGTAATCTCGAACACTTTTAAAAAAACTTGTTATATTCTAATTGCTGTTGTTAGTCAACAATGCGTGATATTCATGACGCGATGGCAAGAGTTTTGCAACATGGACAGACTGACATTCATTTGATTTCGAAACGGTTCGAAATTATCATCCTTATATTATAATTGTAGGTAATGACGTGTCCTCGAAGAATCCGTAAGATAGGAGCGAATCTGGTTTTGAACTCTTAGTTAGGGAGAGTTCATAATTCGTTTTCTCATCATGTTAGCTACTGTCTCTGTTCTTCCTTAGTCACTAGGAGTTTCGCGAGACTCAACGAGGTTTTATTGAAAAGTGTTGGTTCTCATTCAGTTTTGTTTGTAATGATCTGACTATTCTCAATGGAAAATCATCAGGATTATCGAAATCTGATACGATCCATTAGACATAGTTCAATCATAGTAACTGATCAGTTTTTATTTCTTTGTTCTTGCGTTACTTAGTTTCAAAATGTAAACTTAATTTTAAAGCAACGGCCCAAAATCCAGTTAACTATAAGTATGATCCACGAGCTGTTGCCATGGGAGACTTCAACAACGATACCTCGCTAGATATTGTTGTTGCCAATTATGCTGCTGACAATATAGGCATATATTTTGGATATGGCAACGGTACTGTGACAAGCCCAGTCATGTTTTCAACTGGCTATGGCTCTGCTCCGTACATGATTGCTGTTGGCGATTTCGACAACGATCATCGACCTGATGTCGTCGTCGCCAATTTCGGTACAAATAGCATCAGTGTACTCCTCAGATTCCAAAATGGGTCTTTTGCAAACAAAACAGTTCTATCAACTGCATCATCTCGGCCCGTTTGGGTCCATATAGCAGATATTAATAATGATGCAACATTAGATATTGTCACTGCTAACCACGGCACACACAGTGTGACTGTATTTTATGGATATGGGAATGCAAGTTTTTCAAACTCAAGCACGTACTCTACAGGCTATGATTCTTTCCCGTTAGCGGTTGTTAGTGGCGATTTCAACAACGACAAACAGATGGATCTTGCTATCGCCAATTATGGTACCAATAATGTCGGTATCATGCTTGGAGCTAGTAACGGCACTTTCGCAAGACAAAGCACGTTCTTAACTGGTCTTAATTCCCATCCATACTCGCTTGTCGCTGGTCATTTAAACGAAGACACTAATCTAGATATTGCCGTCACCACCTATGGAGATAACAGTGTTGGTATACTTCTGGGTCATGGTAATGGAACGCTTATAACCCAGATAACATATTCCCTCGGTGCTGCTTCTCCTTATTCTATTGGAATTGGTGACTTCAACAACGATAATCGAATGGATTTAGTCGTCACCAATAATGGCACTGACAATATAGCTCTTCTTGTCGGGCATGGCAACGGTACTTTTACAAGCCCAAAACTGTATTCAACTGGATCTTCTTCATCAATCTCCATTGCCATAGGTGATTTAAATAGCGACAATCGTTCAGATATTGCCTTCATCAACAATGATACGAGTACCATAGGTATCATGCTTGGTTATGATGAGTTTTTTCCAATTCAAACGACATATTCAACTGCCATTAATCCATACTCTGTAGCTGTTGGTGATTTCAACCATGACACCCGACTAGATATTGTAGTTGCTAATAGCTTTAGCAACACTGTAAGTGTATTTCTCGGATATGGAAATGGCTCTTTTACAAATCAAACGACATATTCAACTGACTCTCACCCCTACTATGTAGCTCTTGGTGATTTGAACAACGACACTCAACCGGATATCATCATCACTAATTGGAATAACAACACTGTAAGTGTACTTTTAGGATATAGCAATGGCTCCTTTCCAAATCAAATGACATATTCAACTGGCACTTCCCCCAGCTCTGTAGCTGTTGGTGATTTTAACAACGACACCGATCTGGATATCGTCGTCACCAATTCCCAGGACGACACTGTAAGTGTACTTTTAGGATATGGAAATGGCTCTTTTACAGATCAAACGACATATTCAACTGGGTTTGGAACATGGTCTGTAGCTGTTGATGATTTTAATAATGACAGCCAACTGGATATCGTTGTTGTTAATCGGGATAACAACACTGTAAGTATCCTTCTCGGATATGGTAATGGCTCTTTTGCAAATCGAACGGCATATTCAACTGGCTTTGCCCCAACAGCTATAGCTGTTGGTGATTTTAATAATGACAGCCAACTGGATATCGTCGTTGTTAATCTGTATGGCAACACTGTAAGCATCCTTCTCGGATATGGCAATGGCTCTTTTGAAAATCAAACGACATATTCAACTGGCTCTGTCCCAGAATCTGTAGCTGTTGGTGATTTTAATAACGATACTCGATTGGATATCGTCGTTGTTAATTTTGGTGACAACACTGTAAGCATCCTTCTCGGATATGGCAATGGCTCTTTTGCAAATCAAACGACATGTTCAACTGGCGCTGGTCCACAAGCTGTTGCTGTTGGTGACTTTAACAACGACACTCGATCGGATCTCGTCGTTGCTAATTTTAATGACAACAATGTAGGTGTACTACTTCGGTATGACAGAGGAGCTCTGAAAGATAAAATCACATTTGCGCCTATCGATGGTTCTCGTTTGCGAAACTTTGCCCTTTTTGATTTCAATAACGATAGCCTATTGGATATCGCTGTTGTCAATTATGGTACGAATAACATAGGTATCCTTCTTGGACGTGGAAATGGTACTTTTGGAAATGAAATGGTGCTCTCAACAGGCTTAAATTCTCATCCTTACTCCATTACTATCCATGATTTCAATAGAGACGGTCAAGTAGATATAGCCGTGGCCAATCATGGTACTAAAAATCTTGTTACGTTTCTGGGTAGTGGAAATGGAACATTTGAAAATCAAGGACGTTACGGTATAAATTTTGATTTTGCTCCACTGATGATTGGTGCTGGTAGTTTCAACAAAGATGAGAGTTCAGAAATTTTCGTTGCATATGATGGCATCGATTATATAGATGTGCTGGTTACATACGACATCGGATCTTTCAGTAATCACATTAAATATTCCACTGGCCAGTGGCCTAGATCTGTAGCTCTTGGCGATTTTAATAACGACACCCATCTGGATATCGTCATCGCTAATCAGTACGACAACACTGTAAGTATCCTTCTCGGATATGGAAATGGTTCTTTTACTAATCAAACGACATATTCAACTGGCTCTAAGCCATGGTCTGTAGCTGTTGGCGATTTTAACAACGACACCAATCTGGATATCGTCGTCACTAATAGACATGACACTAGTATAAGTATCCTTCTCGGATATGGAAATGGCTCTTTTACAAATCAAACGAAATATTCAACTGGCTCTGGCGAATTATGTGGAGCTATTGGTGACTTTAACAACGACACTCGACTAGATATCGTGGTCGCTAATGATGAAAACACTGTAAGCATCCTTCTCGGATATGGAAATGGCTCTTTTAAAAATCAAACGAAATATTCAACAGGGTATGGACCATGGCCTGTAACTGTTGGTGATTTAAATAACGATACTCGATTGGATATCGTCGTTGTTAATTTTGGTGACAACACTGTAAGCATCCTTCTCGGATATGCCAATGGCTCTTTTGCAAATCAAACGACATATTCAACTGGTGCTGAGCCCCTGTCTGTAGCTGTTGGTGATTTTAACAACGACACTCGATTGGATATTGCCGTTGCTAATACTGATGACAACACTGTAAGTATCCTTCTCGGATATGGTGATGGCTCTTTTGCGAATCAAACGAAATATTCAACTGGCTCTGGACCAACTTCTGTAGCTATTGATGATTTTAACAACGACAACCAACTAGATATCGTCGTCGCTAATTGGAATGACAACACTATAAGTGTCCTTCTTGGTTTTGGCAATGGTGTTTTTGGAAATCAAATGATCTATTCAACTGGCATTAGTCCTTCATCTGTAGCTGTTGGCGATTTAAATAATGACACCCGATTGGATATCGTCGTCACTAATCTGAATGAATACACTGTTGATGTATATCTCGGATATTCGAATAAAGGTTTTCTTAAGCAAATGAGACTCATAACTGGCAATGGATCTCGCCCTAAGTCATTCGCCATTGGAGATTTTAATAATGACAGTCAAATAGATATTGCAATTGTGAATTCAGGCATTAACAACGTCGGTATTTTTCTGAGATATGATAATGGTTCTTTTGCAAATCAAATGACATATTCAACTGATTCTTCTCCATGGTCGGTGGCTGTTGGTGATTTCAACAACGATACCATACTTGATATTGTCGTCGCGAATCTTGGCAGTGACACTGTTGGTATCTTTCTCGGACAGGGTAATGGTTCTTTTTCAAGCCAGAAAACGTTTACAACTGGTTTAAACTCTCAACCAAACGCAGTTGTTGTTGGAGATCTCAACAACGACACCTTGCTAGACATTATTGTTGCTAACTATGGCACAAACAACATAGGTTTGTTGCTTGGTTATGGGAATGGTTCCTTCGCAAGTGTCAAGTTTTTTTCAACCGGTTATGGATCTCTTCCGTTCTCGATTTCCGTTGGTGATTTAGACAATGATGGAAAATTGGATTTCGTCGCCGCCAACGAAGGTGCTGACAATTTAAACATTTTTTTACAGACCTGTTAATATTACTACTACTGGCTTAAGCTTTTTTTTCATTGTTCGACTGTTTCTAACTTCTATTTAGTGCTACTAATATTTCTTCTAACTTTTTTTGGGCGTTAGCATGTCTTCAGCATTAATAAATTTGATATAAAGACAAGAAATATCACAGGAAGCTACCACAATGGGTTTCAATTCGACGGAGAAACTCGTCAGGGGTAGAGTGTAGATATGTCAAACATACCATGATGCCTTTGAATATTGCTCTAGGATCTCAGCAGATGATTTGAAAAAATGTATCTTTTCAAGCGGTATTAAGTTCGTAGAGAAGATAGATAATCTACGATTAGCTTTTATAGCTTTTTTGAAGCGTAGAGAAAATTATAGTCTACTGTTATCGTGTTTCTGTACGGCATATCGAAAGAAGAAAAATTGTTTGTATGTCCCATCGCTATTGGTTTGCATAATTTGTTCATTTTAACTAATCATAGTAATTAGGACATAATATTTTTAGTTCTCATAACCTTTTTAGCAATACGGTTTTTAAGTAGTTTACACTTTGGCGAGTCTAAGTTTTGTAAATCCTCGTATCTTCTTGCATTTCTTCTGAGTTGTTTATCTTCAGTGCTCATGGTTAAAGGATTTTGACCAGTCTAATGAAAACCTTTCATATTTTCAAAACAGAATAAACTCTTTATTGCGTAGCCTGATTATACAGGATGTCGGTATATCATTGGCTTCCATCGCTGGTATGAGTGAATTGGAGCATCATAAACGATAAGTTGTAAATTATCATTCTATTGAGTTCTATCGTTTCAAAAAGTTCTAATTAGAATGAAGTTTTTATATTCAATCTTTTTTTTTATTCAAATAATTACGGGACACAAAAATTCATGATCATAAAATGACAAGTACGACTGTCATTATCCGAGAAAATATTTCATCTCGATGTTACAATAGCAAATAATCACATAGTATTTCCGTGATGACCATTATGTTCAGTAAGAAGGAGTGCCATGTTATATGGATTGCTATGCACTACTTCTGTCATGTTCAGACTATTTCAATTTTCGACAATAAGTTATGTTATTGAAGAGGTAGTTCCGTATTTGGTGTATCACATGTAAAAAAATAGGGAAAAAATCAGATTGAAATCGATTATAATCATACACTTTTAATCGATTTTGAATCGATTAGAAATCAATTAAAATCCATAGCAATCATTACAAATCGACTTGCATTATTGCTACGCTATAATGGCTATATTCTACGAACTACTTTCTAAAAAAAGGGTGTGCGGATGTGGGTGTAAATGAAAAGAAAATCATGTCCACACTAGGGGTGTTACTTTATCTTTATTGACCTTTATATTGAACAATAAAGATAAATACATGTATTTAAAAAATAAACATAGGGTGGGTGTGGGTGTGGGTGTGGGTGGATGTGTTAGCGTGCGTTCTTTTGTTCAAAACCACACGCACTGCACACCCATATCCAGCTCAGAAAATATCGAAACCAATCTTGTTTACATTGATTTTTGCATCATGTCGAGTGTCGAGCAACAGAAAGACTCGATTGATATTGAAAGTGATGGCCCAAATGAAAACTTTTATCTTCTCTATAATCAATCTTGAGAAAAAAAATATGTTTCTTTGCTATAAAATGAGCCCAATTGTTTCAGATTAGTCAGCTGAATAGATAAGCATCTCCAAATGATACAAAAGATTGGCCGAAATCCTTGGAGACGGAATTCTATCATCATTTTCCTCGACTGCTAATTATTGACGTTCGAGAAGGTTTAAATGATTTAATTATTCGAACTGATTCCTCTTCCGAGTGACAAATCCATAAGTCTTGCATTTTTCAGTTATCCACTCACTTCGATTTTGAATTTGAACAGAATACAAAAATTAAATATGTTTTCCTCTTCTATCCATCGTTCTCTCAGAAATTGACACTGATCAAAGATTGGCAAGAGCCAAAGATAGAATCGAATCAATTTTTACTCTTCATAATCTCGCTTTCGACGTGTCTTTTTCTTCATTCAGACATATGATCTTCATGTTGATCGATGAGAAATGACGATACCTGTCGTTAGAACAATTTCAAGTGAATGCATTTAACTTAATATCCTTGATTGGATCGATTCTTTCGTTCATTGGATCTGAATTGATAAACTAGAGCTGATCTTCCCCTTTGACAGAGAACTCTCTCAACACATCTACCTTACCTTTGATTTGTTAACAATGCAGTACTAAAGTGAATTACTTTTAAGTTAAACTTCTAAACCAAAGTGAAAATGTCAGATCTATTCGCATGCTGAACAAGTTTGTATTCTTCTTCGTAAAAGCAAATCTTCTGTAAGGATCTATCAAAAAAAAAAATTTTTAGTTGATTTTTCAATCTCTCCTTTTTAATGTCGACACTGTCTAGGCATGTACCGAGCCCGAGTAGCTCGGGCTCGGTCAGGCTCGGGCTCGGTCAGGCTCGGGCTCGGTCAGGCTCGGGCTCGGTCAGGCTCGGGCTCGGTCAGGCTCGGGCCCGGTCAGGCTCGCGCCCGGTCGGGC